GAAAACTGAGAAACATCTGAAATGGGTTATCTCAACAATAACAGGCAATGTCGGAAGTTACACCCAAGTGCATTATGAGAGTGAGGCTGGCTTTGTGGGATGCTGATAAGTGCTGTCTAATAGGTGTACGTAAAGCCTCATGTAAACAGCCTCCTAATTAGAGAGACCTTTATCAGTTCCTCCATTTTATGCAGATTGAGCCGGTGCAAACGCTGCTGTCATTATCTCGTAATCAAGTAGCTATTCACTGTCATCTTTTAAAAACTTGATTAAAATGCATAACAAGGAATCAATGCTGCTTTATTCCCTCCGTCACCTCATAAACATGGCTTCTTATTCAGGTTAACTGAATAATGGTCTTTAGCAGTATACATATAAGAACTGTTGAGTTAAAAGGGATTATTTGCAAAAGCTGAACATCTTAGTGTTCCCAGATAGTTTTTAGACTTGGAGTGCAGTTTAAAAGGTCTGCAGGCTTCCAGATGGGAACCATTGTATACAACTGAACTGGATTTCTTGATTTTGAAAACTGAATTAAGTGATACTCTTAGTAAACCGGAAAAAAAGGTTCACAAAAATGGAGTTAGATTACACAATAACACAACCTAGCTGATGTCCTCTTTAATAAGCAATAAAGGTGTTTTCTCATAAGACAAAAATAAAATGTTGTAATTGCTGTTGCACTGATACCATTATCAAGCAGGGCCCCCATCCAGCACTAAAATGGTGGTATCGGTAACAGCGAGTACCAACAAATAGGGCACTGATGCCATTTTGAGAGCCAAAAGTTTATTCAACTATTGCAGGTAGGCAATAAACAGTTCTACTGGATTCACTTTGTATTAGTCTTTTTCCTGCTTCACAAAGGCAGGCAGCAGCTTAACAAAGCCATGATGGCCATTATTTTACATCCAAGTACTATACAGTTCTTCATATATAAACACACACATCAATTCTGAACAGATGGCATTCGGTATCGGCCGATACTGCACAGCCAGGTATCGGTATTGGGGCCAAAAAATGGCACTGGTGCAACACCAATCCACCAATCCATTTTCCGTCACCCTTATCTCAAGCGGGGTCGCGAGGGAATGTTGTAATCCAATACTATATTTTATTCTATAATCCTATATTTTGAAAACTAAAGGATGGGTGCAATGGAAGCACAGTTGTAAAGCATGCAACCACACTACAGAGGTCTTCGTCCTCAGCATGGCTGCAACAGGTTTGACTAACTGTATGTGCTCTCTTTTATCCTTTGACATAGCAGCTGGCTCATCGTCTGCCTGGCTGTGTGTTTCCTGGACGGGGCCGCATGTGGAGCTGGTTGACAGTTGCCTTTTATATCTCTGCTTCTTTCTGTATGTCTGTTTCTGTCTCCTTGAATCCCAGTCAGCCTCTGCAGATGGCTGCTCACACTGAGCCTGGATCTGCTGGAGGTTTTAACTCTCCACTGTCGCTAAAAGCATGTTTGGTATGAGGGATTACTTTCAAGTCAATGAGTGGATGCAATCACCTGGTTTTCTTTAAATGGAAAACTTTGAATCAATTTGACTTTATGATCTGGTTGAACTGTCTCTTTAAAGTTCCTTGAGATGACATGTGTTATGAATTTGCATTATATAAATAATCTCAATAGAATTGAGTCCTGGCCTGTTGACTTTTGCTTTTACTCCCCCTCTCTAGTCCCATTTCCTGTCTGTATACTATCAAAAAATAACAAAAATAAAGCCAATGGGGCTTAAAAAAGCCAAAAAAGGCTTGCAAAACATATGCATAAACTTGATCTTTTTCATAATTTGCTATGTTTGATATCAGATTGTACTTGTTAAAATTAAGCAATGAGACGTCCTGTTTACAGTTTGTTAAAAGCTGTGTAGATAATCACACAAACATGTAGTCAGAGTTGCTTTGGTAATATGACACCAATATTTAACATGTTGACCAACATGGAAATTGCTACTTGTTGCAGAAAATGATGTACTGTAAAAAAAAAAAAAACTGCAGATCTCCCTGAATGCACTATCCTCATAGTGAAGCATGGTGGTGGCAGTATTTTACTGTTGGGATGTTTTCCAATGCAAGAATAGGGAGGCTGTTAGAGTCACAGTAAGTTAGATGGACCTAATTACAGGGCTATAGTGAAACAAAACAATAAGTATAACAGCCTCTTCACATAAAACACAAAGTAAATATGCTTAGGTAAGGCAGACAAGTTTATTTATAATGTACATGTCAGTGGCAAGACAATTTAAAGTGCTCTACATTAGGAAAAAAAGAAAAGTACATTGCAGTAGCATAAAGGCAACACACAGTTAAAGAAAATATAAATGGCAAAATAAGAGGATTATATGTAAATATTGATAAAATTAAGAAAGTGGACAAAAGTTAGACCAAAAACTTAACTAATAAAGTTTAGATAGCAAAGGCCAATCTAAACAAATGCATTTTTACTCTGGATTAAAAAAAAGAGGATTTCAGTGCTTTTAAAGTTTTATCCAGATTTTTGGTGCATAGCAACCAAACACTGCTTCTCCATATCTCGTTTTGCTTCTCAACATTTAAAGTAGATTAGAGCCAGAAGACCTATGAGCTTTTAGAGGTAGATATACTGACAATAAGTCTGTAATGTGTTTTGGAGCTAAGCCATTCAGTGATTCATAGACTAACAGAAGTACAAGGATTTTAGACCTGGAGTGATGTGTCCCTTTTTCTTAGTTTGTGAGGATTGGGGCAGCAGCAGCTGCTTGATCAAACTTTTAGGCAAACCTGTGACGACACCATTGCAGCATTCAATTCAACTAGAGATGAACACATTCATAAATTCTTAATGGTTCTGATGAGACAGTCCTTGAATCATTGAGATGTTCTTTGGAATTCTGACATTGTTCTCGTCTTTGTGTTCTTTTAAATGTTCAGATCTGAGTCTATCATGCATCTACTGTAGATTTCGAGCCCAATTGGCGGTCCGAGCTTTAACTGAAACTGAGCTTACATTTAGACACCCTTCCTCGGATCCAAAGACTATTAGATTTAGTCTTGACTCAGCTGAAGAAAATCTTGGCACATCTATGCATTGATTTATTGTATTTACCCAGTGCCAGAATGGGATTCATAGTCACCTGGTGACTTAATGTACAGCTGTGTGTCATCTTCAGAGTAATGGTAACCATTTAAGATCCGAGTTAAGGGGAGCATGTAGCTTATAGGAGGAGCCTATAAGCAGGACCCTTATGAAACACGTGATTTTGTGGTCTCTGATGTAACGTCACCGGCAAAAAAAGGGCATTCAAATAGACATAAATGAGCCCAGAGCTGAAACAGAAATTATTGTACTTCAAAGTTGAACATTCCCCCCATGTAATTGCAGTTTCCAAAGTGTGCCAAAAAAACACAGTTGAGGAATAATTCTGTTAGATTTGTCTGACTGTTAGCAAGTCAATTGAAATATTAAACTCAGCCACCTGTTCGGTTCCTCACCTGTTTGTGCTGCTGTGCTCTCAGAGCATCCTCAAACAGGTGCCGTCTTTGATTTCAATTCATAAGAGGTTATGATTAGGAAAACAAGGGGAAGGACTGAAAATCCCTGAATGACAGTCCCTGTACAATTAAAGAAAGTAACTTATATGGGTTTAGCATGGTTAGCAATCAGGAGGCTGTAAAACAAGCGACTGCACAATCAGTTGCAGACACTTAACCCTTTAAAGCAGAGTGTATCATATTTGATACATGAGTTTTTTAGACCTCTGCAACACAGTGAAGTTTTTGTTCTTGAAACCCATGCACTGAACAGAAAACACTATGGAGAAATGCCTGTATAAAAATGTATCCAAATAAATTATCTAATTTAACTTAACAAAATGCAAATCAGAAATTTCCATCCCAATTCTAATAAAAAAAATAAATGAAATTTGTTTTTTATGGAATGGTTCAGACTTTAAGGGGTTAAATCAGTGGGGGAAACCTTAACATCCGACCTAAATGAGGAAAAGAAGATTCTCAACACTGAACAAGGCAAGTTTATTATCCAAAGACAAAACTACAAACAGCTCAAGATGAAGGTGGCATGGGCGGTTCTAGATGTGGGGCCAGTGCCCCTATAGATCAGGTCCTGGCCCCTGTACTGAAGACATATTTAAAGAAATTCTAATGATATGCGCTGGACACTGTTACGGATAGATCCAAGGACCCATTTTCCTTTACAAATTCTGATTTACTAATTATATAAAAAAAAAAAAGGTGATAATGGTATTGAGATATGATCCCAATTGCTCAAACAAATAAAAATACTTTTACAGCTGAATTTGTCAGTTTTTGAGTTGTGATTCAGATTCCATAGAAAAAGGTAATTTTAACTTAGAAATATGTAAAATTCAGAAATTATGAAGGTAAAGTGACCTAAGATATAATTTTAATTAAACCTAACTAAATAGAAATTCCACTTCATGCAAGTATCTTAATACATTTGAATCCCTTTACCTGTTTTTATTTCAAGATTTTCTGTGCCCCCATGAAAACACTGCCCCGCCTCATACATTTCGTCTAGAGCCACCACTGGTAGGTGGACTTCAGACCTTACTTGTCTGATAGGAGGGAGAAAAAAAAAAAAAAAAAAAGAGGGGGAAGCCAAAGAGGAATTACAATTAAATTAATTTAATATGCAGGAGAAACAAGTTGTGTGTAAAATAAGTGCATTAAAAAGGTACAAAACCCCAAATTTATAATATGTTGCTGCTATACAGGGTCTAAATTAAACCTTCGTGAATTTAGAGGATATTGACATCCCACAATAAAATACTGTAAAAAGCATAATAGAAAATAAAATGTTTACCTCACCCAAAGGAGAGGGAAAAAAGCAGCTCCCCTTAAAAGTCCTACATATATTAGTCAAGGATCTAGCAGGCAGTTTGACCGCAGTTCAGCCTAAATATAAAGGGTACAATGCCGCCATCTAGTGGATCTTTGACAGCATAACCATAGTGGAAAAATTAAAGAGGCGCCCGAGGAAAATGGCAAGTGTGATCTTGTTTTATTTGAGTTACACCCCCCACCCTCCACACACTAATAGTTTTAGTAGAAATCTTCATTTAGAGCTGGTGTACTTGGTCACCGCCTTGGTGCCCTCGGACACTGCGTGCTTGGCCAGCTCCCCCGGCAGCAGCAGCCTGACGGCGGTCTGCACCTCCCTGCTGGTGATGGTGGAGCGCTTGTTGTACTGAGCCAAGCGGGACGCTTCGGTGGCGATCCGCTCGAAAAGGTCGTTCACGAAGGAGTTCATAATGCTCATTGCTCGAGCGGAGATGCCTGTATCCGGATGAACCTTCAGAACAGAGAAAAAGTTGTAGGAACATCATGAAAAAGTAGTAGGAACTAATGAGTGTTGGCGTACAGTAATTGTTCCTACTGCGCTCACCTGTTTCAGGACTTTGTAGATGTACATAGCGTAAGTCTCCTTTCTCTTGACCTTTTTTCTTGCCTTTTTCTCGCTTGAACCCTTGCCTTTCTTTTTTGATATGTCGTTAGTCATTTTTTTTATGTTTCAAACTGTAGTTAGTTGGCAATATGAGCAACTATACCGGGTTTCTGGTAGATATACTACAGCTGGTTTTAAATGTTTCCTTAATTAGTGACTAATTAAGTTCAGCTGGTGTGTTTCACAATTACTCAATTATATTCACTTAAGGAATAAAAATGACAGGAGTAATTTTACTGTATAGTATTTTTTACTTTTTCTTAACTAGCCTATTATGAAAAGCAGCTTTTTGACTAAATAAAGAGTATGTAAAAAAAAAAAAAAAAAAAAAAAAATCACAAAATACACAATTTGCTCTAAAAAGTTTGATAGAAATTATATCCACTTATTTGTTGTTACTTCCTTGTTTTCATGTCATAAATACATGTCACATCATGCAATTTTATAAGTTGAAGTTATTATTACAAGTTAGAAAGTCACAGGCTTGCAACAATAGTATAAATTCACTAATTTATGTACGAATAACAGATTTCGAAGTAAAAAAAGTTTACTGTCTGTTTTAACATTGAAAGTACTGTATTTATAGATCAGTGCTTCTATGTTCACTTTGTGTCTTCGTCTGTCTCCTTGAACCCAAACCGGCTCACTCTGAGTCTGGTTGTGCTGGAGGTTTCTTTCTGTTTAAAAAAGTTTTCCTCTCCACTGTTGCTACAACCATGCATGTGAGGGATTGCTTTTGTGTCAAGGAGTAGATGCAATCAGCTGGTTTTCCTTAGATATAAAACTTTGAAGTATTCTGCCTGTATGATCTGGTTGAAATGTATCTCTAAAGGGCCTTGAGATGATATGTGTGGCACTATATAAATTGACTGAATTGTAGCACAACAGGAAATGTGCTTAAATTTGTTTTGGGGGATCTTTTTTTTTTTTTTCACCAGAAGATAAGAATACAACTAGCTGTAACTTCACTATGGTAGCATGTTGTAGTGCCTTCAAACTCAGAGCCATATAAAATCTAATCTGGATCATAGTACCACTTTGACTTTTAGTTCAAATTAACATTATTAGTAAATATTTTAAGCCATATCTTCTAGCCCTAATAAAACTTAATCTAAGTGAAATAAAAATAAAATTTTTCTTTGGTTTGAGTCATATCTTAAATGTCTAATATGGCAAGCACTTCAACATATATAGAAAAAGACAAATTAAAAAGAAGTAATAGAATCTCATCACAAGCCTAATTCTAAACTCAGTATTAATGTGGCAAATAAACAGCGCATTCATTACAAGATCAAAGTGACAAAATTGACAAGGAAGAGAAAGCCTGAAAAACCTTCTACTATAGGTATTTTTACCACCGACTTCTACAGGACTGTTGTAGACTCATTTTCAGTTGGTAAACATAGTAACTTATTTCTGTGGGTGGAGCCCAGCTGGAGGCAGAAACATTCCTCCAAGCACTTTAACAACGGTAACTACCAAGTTTTATTAGCTATTTTAAAAGGAAACACAAAAAGAAAATCACAGCTGTAGAAAACCAATTTTATCTGAGTACAGCATGTAACCCAGAGTAATTTAATTTTTTTGCCAGGACATTGATTTAAAGAAGTTAAATTTAGAGGATAATACCAGATCGAAGGACCTGTATACACCAAATCAATGGATGACGATCTGACTGAGTTAGCTCTGGCTAAGTGGTGTGACATCTACACTTGGGTAACTGAAAAACAGATTTCTACCTGATTTTGTAAAGGACAGAATGCAGCTGGCTTGGGGCCTTGTAGTAATTTAACACTTCAATGTAAATAGGGTTGCAATTAACAATTATCTTGCAAATAAATTAATCTGTCGATTATTTTTTCGATGAATCAATTAATAATCAGATAGAAAAAGGTTCCTTAAAGAAGGTTTACGAAATGAAACTAGGTTTAACTAAAATACAAAATGTTTACATATTTTGTAACAATTTTGATGTAATTTCTGCTCTGAATGGGTTGCTCTGTCAGCTAAAGGTATATTTTACACTCTCTATAGATTCAAGATTCAAGAGACTTTATTGTCATTCACATCACGTGTTAGATGAGGTAAACGAAATTGAGCGTCACGGCCTCAGTTACATCCGAATATATAAAAAAATAATTTATAAAAACTAGCTACAATATCAGATTTTATAAATAGAAAAAAAAAAAACATTTACAGATATATAAAAACAAGAAGTAGAGAATAAAATGTATATTAAAGATAAATTTAGCAGTGCAACATTTTAAAGTGTCCAAGTGTAAACTGCAAATACAGTGTCATTGGGGGGGTTAGGGGTTGAACAGACCATGTTATTGTTGTTAGGGACAGTGCAGTGAGAGAGACTGAGAGGAGTTTGAGAGTCTCACAGCTTCTGGTATGAAGCTGTTTCTCAGTCTGGTTGTCCTGCATTTGATGCTCCGCAGCCTCCTGCCTGAGGGTAGCGGGACAAAAAGTGAGTGTGCTGGGTGAGTGGGGTCCTTCATGATGCAGGAGGCCCTTTTCCTGCATCTGGAGGTGTAGATGTCTGTGGTGGTGGGGAGGTTGACTCCAACAGTCTTCTGTGCAGCCTTCACTACTCTCTGCAGAGCTTTCCTGTCTGCAGCAGAGCAGCTACCGTACCACACGTTGATGCTGGAGCACAGCACGCTATCCACCACACATCTGTAGAAAGAGATGAGGACTGAGCTCCCCAGTCCTGCACGCTTCAGCCGCCTGAGGAAGTAGAGCCGCTGATTCGCCCTCTTGACCAGAGCGGAAGTGTTGTTGCTCCAGGTGAGGTTGTTGCTCAGGTGCACACCCAAGTACCTGTAGCTGGAGACAACTTCCACCGCAGATCCTCCGACAAGCAGGGGGAGATGGGCGTGTCTGCTCCGTCTGAAGTCCACAATCATCTCCTTCGTTTTCTTGACGTTGATGCAGAGGTTGTTTTCTCTGCACCAGCCCTCCAGGTGTTCCACCTCCTGTCTGTAGCTGGACTCATCACCGTTTGTGATGTTTCCAACCACTGCTGTATCATCTGCAAACTTCACAATATGACAGCCAGGATGGAGAGGAGAGCAGTCATATGTGAGCAGCATGAACAGGAGGGGACTCAGCACACAGCCCTGTGGAGAGCCAGGCATCTTCTGTGGAGCGGTTCTTCCTGTAGGCGTACTGGTGAGGGTCCACAGTGACGTCGATGGAGGCTTTGATGTGGGTCATTACCAGTCTTTCAAAGCACTTTGTGACTATCGGCGTGAGGGCTATTGGCCGATAGTCATTCAGACCCATTACTGTGGAGCTCTTTGGAACCGGGATGATAGTGGCGGTCTTCAGGCAGGCGGGAACAGCCGCTTGAGAAAGGGAGACATTATAAATGTCTGCTAGGACCTCGCAGAGCTGATCAGCACAGTCCCTCAGAACCCGTCCGGGGATGTTGTCCGGGCCAGCAGCTTTTCGCGGGTTGATCCTTTTCAGGGTCCTCCTCACTTCTGCTGGCGTCACACTGAGTGGCACCTCTCCAGGTGGGGGGGCGAGTCTGGTACTGGGTGGAGTGTCATGGTCCTCAAAGCGGGCGTAGAACTCGTTGAGGGCTTCAGGCAGAGAGGGGTCCAGTTAACGATTAATCAATTACTAAATTAATTGACGATTATTCAAATTATCAGTTAATCACAATTAAGTGTTTCAGTCCTAAATGTAAATGGAAATTCAAGGTGAATATCCGAATAGGCGCCCTGTTATATGGTGCAGGCTGGCAACACATCTTAAAAATTATTAATAAAAGACTGAGAAAAAAAACAACCCCCACACAAATTCATTTTATTTGTGTGGGGGTATTTTTGTGTCATAATGTTAAGCTTTCCACTTTGCACCTAGATTCATACTACAGCATAGTATAGATTGACAATGAAGGATATTTTGATTATTTATTGAAATTCCTTGCAAGTACACTTGTGGCCCTTTTTGCTCATTTTCATCGTTTTTTTTTTATTTTGGTGACCATTGTTGTTCTTTACTTAATTAAACAAGGGGTACCGACAATTTTTGTCCACACATGTAAAACTTGTCAGGCAACAGACAGGGAGGCATGCACCACTGATGCCCACTGGGTGGCAGGCTTGTTTAATACTATACTTACTGAAATTTGGAAAACTGCTGTGAATGTCATAGAATGCTGGTCAGTGATTTAAAATTCCCTACTGGCAAATGCAATAAAAGGCCCTGTCCTTCAGGTAGGATTTAAACCAGTCAGGTGCTCTACCTGACTGGTTCAACCCAGTTTTCCAGATGCTCTGATAAAATTTATTGATTAACAGTCTCAAACACTGCACTGGGGTTCAACAATGCCATAATTGTGGTTCTGTCATAGTCTGAATTTATACGGATGTCATTGAAGACCTTAATCAGGGCTGTCTTTATATTGTGATTGGATCGGAAACCTAACTGAAAGACATCAAAGCACCTGGGTGATTGTAAGGAAATCATTTAACTGTTGAAACATAACTTATTCAATAATCTTAGTAATGAAATGCAGGTTTGAGAAGGGCCTGTAGTTCTGCAGGACCAAATTTTCCAAGCTTCTCCTTTTAACAATAGTTTGATAATTGCTATTTTTAAGGACTGGGGAAAAACAATATATTTATGATTTGAATCAAATCATAAATACATTCTTAATGAAGCATGTGGGTAAAACATAAAGAAGAGGAACATAGTTACTTAACATTTATTCCAAAATCTTGCAATTTATTGACAGAATTTGGGCATTTTGATAAAGAGTTTTTTTTTTCTAACTGGTGACAGCATTGGTACTGGAGTTGAAGTTGATGTACAGATTTCTTCTCTGATACCTTGTATTTCCTCAGTAAAGAAAAAATGCATTGCAGGCCGCTTTAGAATGGAATTAATAGGCTGCAGATATAGGAGGGGCTGTTAGTCTGTCGACTATGGCAGATAAGGCGTGAGGATTGTTAATGGGGTTTTTTATAATCTCAGAGAAGATAGATTTTCTTGCATCTTTTAGTTATTAATTTTATATCAGTGAAGTCCGTAGATTTCATAGTGAACCTGCAGTCTATTCTTTCTTCACCTTTTTGGCTTTCCCTCTTTTCATGTCTCACTGCTGTA